GATAATATTACATAGCCATCAGTCTATAATTGTCAGTTGATTAAAATCTGATGCAAGGATTTCAGGTGTTTATCTGTTTATTACGTAACTATATCCATCGTGTAGTGGTAGTTTTAAAGTTTGAATGAATTGCAACTGAATGTAATATTCAATCAAGATGGCTTCTCGCTAACTTAACAAAAAAATAAAGAAATTGATGGTAGGGTAGAAAATCATTCTTGTTATATCACAAGCTGTGTCTCTATACAATATTTACAATTTTGTTTAATGTATTAATTTCAGTACGGTCTAGTGCTGTATGCGGTACAGTTTCTGCCGTCACTCCTGTAGCCACTGTTGTAATCTGCGCTGTATCCACTGACGAAATTACTGGAAGCAGAGTTGATGGAGTAGGTTTTACTCTGTTTGATATTATTTACTATACCCATTATGTAGTGGCGTAACTTTTACATTCATTATCTGTATAAGAACGCAATGCATTGTTTGAATTTCTCAGATTTCATAGACATGGTATTATGTAACTGTGTATTCTAATGGGTGTGTACCTGGTTTAAGATTCAAAATGAAATTGAAAGAATTACAACAAAATGGAATTAAGAGGTTTTCCCCTCTAATTTTAACAAAAAAGAATTGATGGTAAGGTAGTGATAATTCTAATGATATACATAAAACATATTTATTAGTTACGTTTTCTCTTTATACAATATTTACATTTTTGTTTAATGCACCAATTTTAGTACGATCCAGTGCTGTATGCACTACAGCTGCTGCCGTCACTGCTGTAGCCACTGCTGTAGTCTGCGCTGTAGCCACTGTAGGAATTATTAACGAAATTACTGGAAGCAGAATCGATGGAGTAATACCCGTGGGATAAATTGCTTCCGAGTTGAGGTTGATGAAGAACATTGTCATTGTCGCTGGAGTAGAAACCTTGGTTGGCGAGGGAGTACTGGTCGGGTTGAAGGCCATAACCGCCATATTGTGGTTGCTGGTTGAAGGAGTCGCTGAAGGCGACGGCGTCCATAGGACTCCCTGGACGACTGTCGGAGTCCGAGTCGGACTGAAGGGTGTCCTGAAGGTCGCTGATGTAGTCGATGACGTGCTCGATGAGCTCCTGTCTGGACACCTTGCGGTTCTTGGGACACTGAGGCACCATGGCCTTGAGTGTGTCGAGGTAGAGGCGCATCTGTGCCTTGTCGGAGGCCATGTTGGAGTTGGCGGCGAGTGCCTGTGCCATGGCGGCGGCCATTGTTCTGTCATAAACGGTGTTCATTTTCTGTTCAGTGAGTGGCGAGACCGAAATGAGTTCTGTGGAAGGTAGGTCAAGTGGTTATGATCCTTGGTTACCTGAGCAAGGTTATATATGCCAAGGGTCAAGGGAACCGTCTCTGACCACGCCTCTTATGACGCGGAAAGATTTGATTGGTTCTTTTTCTTCTTCTTCTTTTCGTGACTCAGCTTACATGGACCAGTTACTCTCAGTCAAAATATATATTTCTTCCCCACGGCTTAATAGACTTTGACATTTACTCCTTTACCCCTTTTTTATGCAGTTCTTTTTGTTTTTGAAGGGCGGGGGGGGGGGGGTCTCTTGTAATAAAAAAGATATTAAAATTAAATAAAAAATGAACGCATTGTTAATGATGCATTGAATCACGATGCTCTTCTTTGCTAAAGTCAAGCAGCATGCAGGCGAAAACACTGACTTCAGACGCTTATTATCATTAAGAAAAAACATAATCTGGTTTCCATAAAGACAAGTATCGACATGTAAAACATACCATAGAGAAAGTGCTATCTTAAAAATAGGAGATTTCAAAGAATTCTAATCTTTGATTTTGGCAGTGACTTTTACGAGTATATAATCGAACAGAACGTTTCGATGTGCACACACACGCACATATATATTTGCACGCACACATGGATATACATATGGGTGCATACATGCATTCATACACACACGTGTGTGTGTGCATGTACCTATGTATATATTCACATATATACATATGCATATATATACATATGTATTATATATATGTATATATACATATGTATATATACATATTCATTGATCTCTTCCCCCTTCTCTCTCTCTCTCTCTTTTTAGACACATACAGAGAGGGAGAGAGAGAAAGAAAGAGAAATAGAAAAGATATATAATCAAATTAATAAATACATGAAAAAAATATACATAAACATATGTGTACTCATATGCATACATATATTCATATGTATGTGCGTACCTATCTATCCATCTATCTATATGCGCGCGCACACACACACGCACACACCGAGACACACACACACATATATATACATGCATAAGTAGATATAAGTATAGATATTGATTTATATCATATGACCATATATATATATATATATATATTATATATATATATATATATATATATATATATTATATATATAGATATACACCCGCACACACGCACACACATATATACATATATATACATACATACACATACATACATATAAATATATAAATCGGTTCACAAACACATACACACAAACATATGGATATGTATAAGCATGGTATATACATGTATATATATATATATATATATATATATATATAATATATATATATATTATATATATATTATATATATATATACGTATATATATGTATATATATGTATATATATGTATACACACACATGTATGTGTGTATGTGTAGTCGTGGTGTATCATTATGTGAAGCATAACTGTGACCTCATTAACCCTTAATCTGTGACATAACTATTTTTTTCACAACAAAGCTGATTAAATATTACTTCTGAGCAATTAAGTCTCTGCAGCGGGAAGGTCAGACGGCCTAATGAGGTCAGTCTCTCTTCCGGCTCCTTCGGCAGTGGCTCAGGCTGGGTCAGCGAAGGGGCGGGACTTTTGCCAAAGGGACGTCGAGTCTTTCCAACCCTTACACTGCTCGGGAATCACGCGACACTTGAGGGGATTAAGGACGTTGGAGGACAATGCTCTTGTGGATATAAACACAAAGAAAAAACAAATGAATAATGCAAATACTAAGGAAAAGATATGTTCATAAGGATTATAAGATTTGATTGATATTTTCTGTACATTTTATACATATCAATCTCTAGATATGCATATACTATATATACATATGCATATTTATATATCTATTTATATATTCATACGATATATATGATATATATATATATATATATATATATATATATATATATATATATATATATATATATATATATATATGTGCGTGTGTGTGTTGTGTGTGTGTGTGTGTGTGTGTGTGTGTGTGTGTGTGTGTATACACACATATAAATATATATGTATACTTATGTTTGTGCGTATATAAACGTGGATTATTTTGTGTCTCCTACAGTGTCAGTGATTCTTTTATATTTTAATGTAGTATGAAGGTTTGAATCTGAAACACATAATATTATCGTCAACGAAGGTGATTAAATAATATTTCTGTGCGATTAAGTGCCTTCTGGGATGGTCAGGTGTGCCATTACATCTGCATATATTCCGGAACTTTTATTTGAATGCCCTAAAGGTCATTCGGGTCAAGGGGCGGGACTTTCTCTTGCAAACGTCAAAAAACTTGCCGATCCTTACGCCCAGCTCATGGAATGACGCAAGCCACTGGGGTAATTAGGGGACAACGAAGGACAATGCAGCCGTTGCTCTGCATACAAAGAAAACAAATGGCTAATGTAAATATAAAGCATATTTGGTTATATACCCTTTCTTGTTTACAAGTATCAATATTTGATGCACACACACATGCAAGTATGTATTTATATCAATATATCTATCTATCTATATATATATATATATGTATATTTGTGTATGTATGTATAAGTATAATTTATATATATTGATATCCATAATTATATATGCACATTTAATATTTGTTTGTATGTCACAAGACCCGATAAAAAATAAACTTTCTTTTCTAGAAAGTGTATTATCGTGAGCACAAAACCACGGCCAGTTATTCCTGTTTGTACTCCTGAGTTTTTAGGAGCGTCTCATAACAGACATAACGAATGCTTTTTCCTACAAAAGAAGGGCGGGACTTTTGCCAAAGGGACGTCGAGTCTTTCCATCCCTTACACTGCTCGGGAATCACGCGACACTTGAGGGGATTACAGGACGTTGGAGGACAATGCTCTTGCGGACATAAACACAAAGAAAAACAAATTAACAATGCAAATACTAAAGGAAAGTTATGCCCCTAAGGATTATATGAACTGAATCATTTTTTTCTGTGCATTATGTACATATCTATCTATCTATATATATATATTTTATCTATATATTAAATATATATAACTAATTTATTTATCAATATCATACTATATAATATACACACATGTTTGTCTGTATATAAACATATCGTATTTTTCATGTCTCTTACAATGTCACGTGGCGCTTATTGTCTCCATATGTTAATATAGTATCAGGTTTTAACCTCCAAGACATAATATCTGTCAACAAGGTGATTAAATATTACTTCTGTGCGATTAAGTGACTGTTCTGGGATGGTCAGGTGGGCCATTACATCTGCATATATTCCGGAGCTTTTATTTGAATGCCCTAAAGGTCATTCGGGTCAAGGGGCGGGACTTTTCTTGCAAACGTCAAAAAACTTGCCGATCCTTACGCCCAGCTCATGGAATGACGCAAGCCACTGGGTAATTAGGGGACAATGAAGGACAATGCAGCCGTTGCTTTGCATACAAAGAAAAACAAATGGCTAATGTAAATATAAAGCAAATTAGGTCTCTGCATCCTGGTTCGTCTCATTCCAGACCTCAACATATTCTCATAATGTTTGGTTAGTTATATAATTTATATATATATATATATATATATATATATATATATATATATATATAATATATATATATATATATATAATACGTTATTATCAATAAAGTATATCCGTTATATATTAGGGGTATTTGTGTAGACAAGATATTTTTGTGACTTCATTTAAAGCACTAAAAATAGGTCTTGTAAAGAGAGTATTTGTTGATTGAAGCTTCAAAAAGGCTTGAGTCACTGGGAATGAAAAAGGAATCTCTCAAAATATATATTGTTGCTAATATGAAAATATGTTATGGTAATAAGATTTCTCTTGATGGGTAAAACATACTTATTATTTGAATCTCTGTACACTATTTACAATTCCATCTGATGCTTTAATCTCAGTACGATCCAGAACTGTACGAGCTACAGTTGCTGCCATCACTGCTGTAGCCACTGCTGTAGTCTGCGCTGTAGCCACTGTAGGAACTGCTGGCACTGACGAAATTACTGGAAGCAGAGTTGATGGAGTAGCATCCATGGGGGAAAGTGCTTCCGAGTTGAGGTTGATGAAGAACATTGTCGTTGTCGCTGGAGTAGAAACCTTGGTTGGCGAGGGAGTACTGGTCGGGTTGAAGGCCATAACCGCCATATTGTGGTTGCTGGTTGAAGGAGTCGCTGAAAGCGACGGCGTCCATAGGACTCCCTGGACGACTGTCGGAGTCCGAGTCGGACTGAAGGGTGTCCTGAAGGTCGCTGATGTAGTCGATGACGTGCTCGATGAGCTCCTGTCTGGACACCTTGCGGTTCTTGGGACACTGAGGCACCATGGCCTTGAGTGTGTCGAGGTAGAGGCGCATCTGTGCCTTGTCGGAGGCCATGTTGGAGTTGGCGGCGAGTGCCTGTGCCATGGCGGCGGCCATTGTTCTGTCATAAACGGTGTTCATTTTCTGTTCAGTGAGTGGCGAGACCGAAATGAGTTCTGGGGAAGGTAGGTCAAGTGGTTATGATCCTTGGTTACCTGAGCAAGGTTATATAGGTCAAGGGAACCCGTCTCTGACCACGCCTCTTGTGACGCCGAGAGATTTGATTGGTCCCTAACAAGACTGCTGTTAATATTAGTTATCATGGCATTAGTTGGTATTTTTCTTATCATGACTCATCTGACTTATTCTCAGCCAAAATTAATATTTCATTCCCATGACTCATATGCTTCGTATTGAAATTGGAAAAATGTTACAATGAAAAAATAAATATATATTTATATACATATTACATACTATTCCATAAAGGTCATTAGTCAAGAGGCGTGATGCTCTTCTTCACTAAAGTCAAGCAGCATGCAGGCGAAAACACTGACTTCAGACGCTTGTTATCATTAAAGAAAAACATACATCTGGTTTCCATAAAAAGACAAACATCGACATGTTGCAAAGCATACCATGGAGAAAATGGTACCTTAAAAAAATATATTTATAATCTTTGGTTGTGGTAGTGACTTTTACGAGTATATAATCGAACAGAACGTTTCGATGTGCACACACACACATATATACATATGCACGCACACATATATATATATATATATATATAATATATATGGGTGCATACATGCATTCATGCACACACACACACACACACACGTGTGTCTGTGTGTGCTGCATGGATATATATGCATATATATATATACATACATATATATATAATATATATGCGTAATATGTGTATATATACAAATGTATAGCATACATATTCATTGATCTCTTCCTCCCCCCCTCTCTCTATCTATCTCTCTCTCTCTTATGGCATACGGAAAGGGACAGAGAGAAAGAAAAATAGAAAAGATAGATAATCAATAAATACATGAAAAAATATACGTAAACATATGTATAATCATATGCATACATATATTCATATGTATGTGTGTACCTATCTATCCATATATCTATCGATCTACTGAGACACACACACATATACATGCATAAATAGATAAAAGTATAGATATATATTTATATCATATGACCATGTGTATATATGTACATAAATATACACCCACACGCTCGCACACACACACATATATATCATATATGTGTGTTTGTATATATATATATATATATATATATATATATATATATATATATATATATATGTATATGCATGGTATACATGTGTATATATATATATGTATATATATGTATACATGTATATATATGTATATGTATATATATATATTTATATGTGTATATGTATTTGTTCACACAAACATACAGGCACATATATGTATGTATACATATATAAATGTGTGTATGTGTATGTTCATACAGATATACTCATACATGTATGAATATATATATGAATAGATTAATGGACAAATATACATATTAGTATGCATATATAATACTTGTATAAAGATATTCGCACACACACACATATATATACACATATCCATTTGTATGCGCACACACATATGTGTGTACATAAATATATATTTACAAGTATACATATATATGTGTGTATATACATGTATGTATATATGTATACACACATGTGTGTGTGCAGTCGTGGTGTATCATTACGTGAAGTCTAACTGTGACCTCATTAACCCTTAATCTGTGACGTAACTATATTTTTTCACAACAAAGCTGATTAAATATTACTTCTGAGCAATTAAGTGGCTGCAGCGGGAAGGTCAGATGGCCTAATGAGGTCAGTCTCTCTTCCGGCTCCTTCGGCAGTGGCTCAGGCTGGGTCAGCGAAGGGGCGGGACTTTTGCCAAAGGGACGTCGAGTCTTTCCATCCCTTACACTGCTCGGGAATCACGCGACACTTGAGGGGATTATAGGACGTGGGAGGACAATGCTCTTGTGGATATAAACACAAAGAAAAACAAATGGATAATGCAAATACTCAAGAAAAGATATGTTCATAAGGATTATACGAACTGAATGATTTTTTTCTGTGCATTATGTACATGTCTATCTATATACATATACTATATATATATATATATATTATATATATATATATATATATATATATATTTATTTATATAATAATATATATAATTCATTTATTTATTTCATATATATAATACATATTGTTTGTGTGTGCTCATTGTTCCATATTTTAATGTAGTATCAGGTTTTAACCTCCAAGACATAATATTTATTGTCAACAGAGGTGATTAAATATTACTTCTGTGCGATTAAGTGACTGTTCTGGGATGGTCAGGTGGGCCATTACATCTGCATATATTCCGGAGCTTTTATTTGAATGCCCTAAAGGTCATTCGGGTCAAGGGCGGGACTTTCTCTTGCAAACGTCAAAAAACTTGCCGATCCTTACGCCCAGCTCATGGAATGACGCAAGCCACTGGGGTAATTAGGGGACAACGAAGGACAATGCAGCCGTTGCTCTGCATACAAAGAAAAACAAATTTCTAATGTAAATATAAAGCATATTTGGTTATATATACTTCTTTCTTGTTTACAAATATCAGCATTTGACGCACACACATACAAGTATGTATTTATGGATATCAATAGATCAGTATTTTTATGCATGTGTATATATGCAAATATGTATACGTATGTATGTATATATGTATGTATACACACATATATACTGATACTCATAAATACACACATTTACGTAAGTGTGCATGTCACAAGACGTTATAAAAATAGACTATTTTTTCAGAGACTGCATTATCGTGAGCAACAAAACCACGGCTAGTTATTCTTGTTTGTACTCCTGAGCTTTTATGAGCGTCTCATAACAGACATGAACGAGACTTTTTCCTACAAACGAAAGTAATAAAAAAAGCTCATGGAGTAAGGACAACGGAGGGTGATCTCTTTGTACTGAAAACAAATGTAAAACAAATGCCAAATGCAAAGACGATGCATTCTGGGTGTGACCAATTATGAGATTGTCTGTTGTGAGATATGGGTCTCTGCGTCTAGGTTCGTCTCATTCCAGCCGTCATCGGTCTTCCTTCAGATGTTACATATTTTCATAATGTTTGCTGAAAATTACATAATCGTTTCGCTCTCGATTGCCTTATCTACCACTCCAATGATTTCGCAAGCTGCTTTCTGATAGCACATGGCAGCTAAGAAATAAAATGGCTCTGCGGATTTTTACAAAAAAAAAAGTATCTTTTTTATATATATATATCACGGACGAGAACATTGTTAAGATTTGAACCTGGAATATTACACAAATAACTTTTTATATTTCATTTTCACTTTCCATTTATTTTCGCTTATTCGCTCATATTTGAAAAAGCATCTTTCTCTTTTGTGAATATCACGAAGGACGAAAAATTAGTTCAAGGATATGGCATTGCAATCAGCTCATAATTTCTAACAGATTATCTGGAAAAGCTTCCCCATTTCTAATTCACTTAATTTATTCCATAACTGTTTTAATAATAGATTTAATGTACCTTTTTTTACTTTTTAAGAGAAAAATTTATTTATAGATATGGCACTGTGATTCATAATTGTGACAAAGATTGATAGTCCATTTCTGATTAATCAGGAAGCATTGCAATACTCAGAGAAGGAAGTATTTGCGGGATAATGAAATTGAAAACATGGTAGTATTAATTCGTCTGATATGAATAGAATATATTAGTTGTTTCTAAACAATATTTACCATTTTTTTGTTGATGTATTAATTTCAGTACGATCCAGTGATGTATGTGCTACATTTGCTATTGCTGTAGCCATCGCTGTAGTCTGCGCTGTAGCCACTGTAAGAATTGACAGCACTGATGGAGTTGGAGTATTACTGGTGGGGGAAAGTGCTTCCAAGATAAGGTTGATGAAGAACATTGCCGTTATCGCTGGAGTAAAAACCTTGGTTGGCGAGGGAGTACTGGTCGGGTTGAAGGCCAACCGCTATATTGCGGTTGCTGGTTGAAGGAGTCGCTGAAGGCGACGGCGTCCATAGGACTCCCTGGACGACTGTCGGAGCTGGTGGCCATTGTTCTACCACATTGTGGTAGAACAATGTGATGTGTGATGATGTGTGTGATGTAATGATGATAGATTATTTACCAGAATGGGGATATATAAGCTAAGTGGTCAAGAAAAGTCTTAAAGATAGCAAATAATAGAATAATGCACACACATTTCCTTAATTCTATAATTATATATTAACAGTGTTAACATTAAGATGCTTAATTTGGTGCTTCGAAAAATGTCCCTGTAATTCTAGGAAGAGCATCTATGTGTAAAACATACCTGTGACCTTATTAACCCTTAATCTGTGATGTAACGATGTTTGTTGTCAACAAAGCTGATTAAATATTGCTTCTGAACAATTAGGTGACTGTCCTGGGATGGTCAGATGGCCTAATTAAGTTTGAAAATACTCTGGTTCTTTCGGTAGAACCTCCGCCACAAGGCTGGTTCAGGTGAAGGGGCGGGGGACACTTGCCAAAGGGACGTCAGAAATCTTGTCAATCCTTACGCCGCTTGTAGGATTACGCAAGACATTTGGGAAAATTATAGGGTACAGGAATAATTGAAATACTAAAGAATAGATAACCATTATTTGGATTAAGGAAGTACAGAAGTAACAGTAGATTCTGAGTGGCCAAAGACGGAAATAGGTATTCGTAATTATTTTTAGATACTTTACAATTGTTTACAAAATCCACAGTAAGCTGAAGTCATGGGAAAGTCTTACTTGAAAAGTTGCAGTAGAAGATATAATGTCTAAGATAGTTTTTCTACACCAAAGACAGATATACATTTCAGGCATACTGGATACGTACGCTATAATATATAAAAATATATATGTAAAAGTATACATCGTAAAATATAGAAATAAATTGTATACAGTGACACATGACATTATGATATATACCAATATATATGAAAATATATAACTGCATGTGCAAACTGGTTCAAAACTTGTTTAGCTTCACCT